ATGATGGAGAGATGGCGAGTGGAGAGGTACAAAGTTGAAAGCACAAAGTCACCAAACTAAGTACAAATATGTAATTACATGGCGGAGCAGCATTCACAATTATTGAATGACTCCGTACGTGTGCCAATGTTCACGGGGTGAGTGAGAGAGAGAGAGAGAGAATTGAAGAGAATAGAAGCTAGAGATAGCAATACAGAATGAACCCGAGCAATGATGGCATTTGCCTTGCCTTGCCTCACTGTTGCCATTGCATGTGAATGTGAAATGTGAATGCGTGTTTGTTTTTGTTCATCGCCCATAAAATGTGCTTGCCAAACGCACTTGGCGATACACTTTTGTGTGTTGGAACACACAACAGCCACGCTATAACATAACGTCCGTAGATTTATAGAGCCATAGACTGGATCGTTTTCGAAACACACAGTACACCACACTCACAATGCTCAAACTATCCAATAGTAAGCATGTTTTTCGGTTTGAATTGCTCCATATACATGCGAACACTCACACAACGCGCGATTGAATTGTCAATAAAATGGATAAAGTGAGAGCGACCGGCGACAGCGACTCGAATCTAGAGCTGAATTGGGTGCTACGGCCCCGTTGTGTGTGTGTGTGTGTCGAAGAGTTTTGAATTTCCGAAAGTAAATGCGGTAACTGGGCATTTTCTCAAACTACAGTCGAATTAGATCTATTATATTCTTGGTGCGCTGAAGAGATTAGGGGTTCCGTCAATATACCAAAAATTGCCAAGGATTCATCTTACGATGAGCTAAGAGAAATTATCCGCCCCCTCGATTCGCTTCAATGCAGCAGCAGAAGCAGCAGCAGCATACTCTCACGTTTTGTGTGAATAATTGAAACCCTGTTATCGTATCAAAGTGATTCACACAGCTCACAATTGATGCGACGGCATTCACACCCCGAAAATGTGCGAGAGGCAAATAGGAGAACGAGAGGGAAAAAAGGGCAAACGCCAGCGGAAAAGAAGAAAGAAAAAAAAATGGTCCAGTCTATATCAAATACAAAACTGCAGAGCATATTCTTTTACACACCGTGTCCCGTAACCGTACTTAAAATGTATATGCATAATATACATTCTCGGCTACAATCTTAATAAGACAGCAAACATAATGTGCCGTTTATCGCTGATGAATTTTTCGTCGAACTCTCATTCCCTCTTATTCGTTCTCTATCTCTTTCTACTCCGCGTATGTGTGTATGAATCTCTGTACTCTCTGGTGCGCGCAAATGCTCACGCTTGTGTCCACATTCACCACTTTGCATCCATACACATAATATAATAACAGATAGTGAACTTAAACAAACGCACCGAACGCAGATAGAGATATATATAGAGAGAGAGAGGGAGAGAATGTGTAAATCGTGTGCCTTTTGTTTTTGTGATCTCTATTAAAGTGTATTTGTATACCTATGAAATGTGTTATTCACACATTTCCTAAATGCGCCAGCTAAGTATTTGCGGAATTTTATTATCTTGGTTGTTTTTGTGTTTTTCATTCTATCTATTTATGTGTGTATGTTCTTGGATCCGATGCCGAAGCCGAAGCCAAAGCCAAAAGCCAGCAAGCCAATGATTTTGCCTTGTGCGCGCACACACAACTTTTAATCAAAACAAATAAACTTCGACAACGAAGAGAATGAACGGGGAAAAAAACCAACAGCAGCAGCAGCAGCAGCAGCAGCAGCAGCAATAACAACAACAATATGAACAGCCACCAAAATGAAGAGCAACCACCCGAACACAAATTATGAATAACAAACAAAAGCAATATTATTGTACATTGAGATGAAAATGAAACCAGAGAAAGAGAGTCAATACATAACCATAACAGGTTCTCTCTATCGCAAAATGCGAGCGAGCGGGAACACTGGAAAGGCGCGCGCGCACTCGCACTCGCGCACCCGCGTATCGAAATCACCGTGTCTCGCTCATTATAAATTGCTTATCTCTGGCTTCATTATCATCGGCGTTGCTATCAGTTTTAGTTTCGAAAGACAATGCCAATGAATAGTATTGCATCGAACGAAAAATAGGCGTATTTTATGTGCGCATCAATTCTGTTGTTATTGTTGTAGTGGTTGCGGCTACAGCTGCTAATACTGCTGCTGTTATTACTACTGTTGCCTCAAACCGTTACGAGAACAAGTCACCGACTTCGGTTTTGAAGAAGTCAAACTCTCAATTTTAGCATCACAACAGCAACAATGGTGCGGAACAAACACGAAAACGAAATTAAATCCTAAACGAGTGAGCACATTACACATGTGATGAAATTAATGGCTAAGGTATAACATACACACTCTGTACGGCAAATGAGAGAACCAAATAGGCGAATAAAATAAAAAGGCAAACACATACTCACACACGACACACACAAAAAAGCACATCATCATTATCAATTTTGATTAAGAGTACATGGTACACATCAAGTGGATCAACAAATGAAAACAATACAAGCAAATAAGCACGCCAACTACAACACACACACACGAGTCGTAAATCCCTAAAAAAATAGAATGGTACGGCGTGTGTTCTTTCACTCACCATCGCGTCGAACAGACGCAATTTATTACATTTTTGGAAAACAAACACAAGAAATAAAATGAACTGATTGTTGAGAAATTGATTGTTCTAATGCTGCTTCAATTTCATTTATTTTTGGTGTTCTTTTTGTCGTTGTCGTCGTCGTCATAGTCATTGTTGCTGTTTGGGTGTTTTTCTTTCGCTTTTTGCGCCCAGGATTTTTCTCTCGAATTGCTACAATGATTTGTACGATTTCAAATATGTCGAACGGTGCCGAAGCCACACGAATTCTGAAAACGAAATATCAGCGCCGAAATCTTATCGCAACTGAACCAAAAGTACCGCCACAAAGCCAAACAGATAATCGTAGATGGGGTCGAGAGATGATCAATTTCATTTTAGGTGCATGAACAAACCAAATGAATCGTTCGCACTTCGTTCTCGTTCATCTATACCGTTTGCTCTGTATTATTTTTTTTTTTTCGGTGTGTGTATATATGTTGTTGCTTTGTTCGATTGGTGTGTGACTCTGTTTATCAGTTGTTTGACTTTCGTATCGTTATCAGTTTGTTTGACTTGAAGTCATGGGGAATAGAGAGAATGAACCAAATGAATCACAAAATCATCAGTCGAATATACAATTTTGTATGACACTGATGGTGCAAATTCGATTTTTTTTTTGTTTTATTTTCTATGACGTGCACGTTTCCGAATAAAAAATAAATAAATACTAACCGAAACACCGTCACCACGTATAGTTCACAGAGCCAGGCTAGTCGAGTTCAAACACACGTAAGGTTTGGTTAAAATGTTTGTAATTTTTTTTTCTCTTTCAAATATCGCTACATTTTATGCGAGAGGGAGAAAAAACGCCATTTTTTGTTCGGTTTGATTGATATATTGGCTAATTGGATTTAATATGTGAGTGAATTTGTGCAATTGAACGATGAACGCAGCATTTTTACAGCCGTGTTTTACCTTCGTGATTTAGTGAAAATTGACTACGGACTTTTTCCTTTCTCTTGTCGAAGTGAGTAAGAGAGTGTTTTTTTTTTGTTCCTCGCTCCGAACAAATTGAAAAGAAAATGAAAAAGTTCTATTGAATTTTTGGGCGGTTGGTTTATGACATTACAAGCCCCTTGCTTGAACTCTCGACTCAACTCTCGCTGCGGCTGGGCTCAATTTCACAGCAATTTGAGTGATTTTCAGTCGATGTCGACAGACAAACGCTTTCAGTAACACACACTCGAAATACTACGTCCTATTTCGATCACATCGAAAGTACTAGAAAAAACGTAGCGCATAATTCGCGAAGGGAAACGAAGTTGAACACAAGAAAGAAAAGAAAAAGCGACAACAACACCGACGACGACGACGAAATTAAAAATCGGAAAACCGATTTATCTTCGCCGTGATTCAAAAAGTTTCAAAAGATTTCATTCTTTTTCTTACTCTTGCACCATCACACGTTTGCAATCTGTGGTGTGTGTGTGTGTGCGTGCGGTTTTTTTTTGACAACTTTAAATCAGTTTTTGTTTCGAAAAACTTTGGTTTTCCCATTAACCGCGTGCGTTGATTATATTCGCATAAGTGTTATTTTTGCTTCAATATGAATGTGTGAGAGTTTGTGACGACGACGACGTCGATGGTGGCGGCGACGGTGAGAGTAGCACAAATGAAAAGCACTTTCTGTGGTTTAATTGTATGTGATTAATACGTGGTGATGGTGAGCCTGTGATACTTATCCTATATATATGTATGATAATAAGTGTATGGCTTTCAAGTGTTCACTTGTCACCAATTAAATCACTAATTTTTGTGAACGTTTCCACCACACCAAATGTGCGAACCAAATTTGGTAGCTCAGTTTTTCGAGCAGAAAGCATACGCACATGCAAACACGAACGCAAAGCGCATCAACAGCAAAAATAACAGCATCAAGTGTAAAAATTAAATACATATTTTTTTATATGAAAATAAATGGGACAAATCGGCCCGTTTTTCCATACCCATTCATATTCATAATACGCACGATGTGCGATGCCAATGAAAATTTCAAGTGTAATTTATTTAGAGAGCATAAATAAATTAATTTTTGAGTGTAATTATAAGCAGATCGAGGGAGAAGAGTGGGTGCAACAACAACAAAAAATATTGTATTATAATTGTCAATTAAATGAAAACAACAATATAAATCCATGAGAGACATTAATTATTCGTGTTAATCCATCTGCTATGTTTGATTTTTTTTTGTTTTATTCTCATTGTTTTCTCTTTTTCTCTCTTTTTTCCTCCATGCTTGGTCATATTTTACTCATCGATCTGGCTGGATGTCTGGTATACGCACCATGGTGACTCTTCCTCGCGCCTTCATCTCGAAAACGGTACCCGAACGAATCTCATTTTAATGGCTGCACACCACCACCACCAACAACAACAACAACGAGAACAGTTGGCTTGAAAAGTCCACGCAAAGCAAATAATAATTTAATATGGTGTTTTGACGCGATTTTCATACAACAGTACACGCAAACAATAACAACACATACACATAGCCAACTAAAATACATATGGCGCCATTTCTGTGATCAATCTACGTATTAAATCGTTTATAACAATATTTTATGTACATGTGTAATTATTGTGATTTATATCAATTGTTTTCGCATTTTTTTCGCGTTCCAAGACATTTATTCCCGAATTTTTCCCCCGATTTCTGTGAATATTGTGTGCGAATAAATTAAACGGTGGCAGTTTTCGACGACAAATCAAAAAAAAAGAAGAAAGAGCTATAAAAAAAAGTTTTAATTTTTCGTTCGATTTCAAACGAACAACGTTCAAATCGGATACGATTAATCTTATTACTTGAAAAAGTAGAAAAAAAATCAATGTCATTCGACTGTTTTAATTGAAAAAGAGTCGAAATAAAAATCACAGACGGTTTTTTTGAAACAAGGACATACAATACAAAGAATTAAAACAAAAGAAAATAAAAATCGCGAGCGACGATATCAAATCGAAAAAGGAAAAAAAAAATATTCTTCATCATCTTAATCAAATGATTCATCATAAAAGCGAAACAGAAAACATGCTAAGCTCATTGGATACGCTTGCCGAAAAAATATCACCTGGTTCAGGTAAAAATAGCCCGAATCAACAGTCAAACGATGCATTAGGTACAACGACGACAATCACATCCAGTTCCACAAGCATCGGCCAACGAACACATTTCAGCCAAAGCATACATCCCTATCAGAAATTGGAGCAGAATAACAACAACAGCAGCAACAACAACAACAACAACAACAACAATAACAATCACAACAACAACAACAACAATAACCATAATAGCAACTTAGTTCGCGAACTGTAAGTACTTGTTCATTGCTCATTTTCATTGTATGTTTGCTGTTTGTATGAGAGTGTCGCCTTGTTTGTTCTGGAAACACAAGTATCGCTTTTCTCTTCTATCTATCAACATTTGTTGTTGTCTTTGTTCTGCTTTTTCCTCTGTTCTGTTCTGTCTGGGATTCATTCGCATTGTGGCATAATCTAATCAAACAGTGAAAAGATATTGGTTTTTCATGTGTGTTGAAAGTAAGCAAGAGAGTGTTGAAATAGATGACACTAACAACCACGAGAATTGAACACCTTATTGTCACACACTCACGCTCTCTTTCACTCATTCGCACACATCCGCATATGCATATGTAAACAGAATGACGAAAAACCACTTGCATCAGAAAGATTTCTATTTACTCTTCCAACTGATAACTACATGTCAGTTGTACCAAGGAAAAAAAAAAACATATACATATATCAACAGTTTTTGATTTGATAAGTTTTTCCATTCTCTTTCGTGTGCTCGTTTTTATGATCGCTTGAGCACGAAGCAAAGCTGATTACACATGAAAAATTGTCGTCATATACAACCGAAATGACGAAGAAGAAGAAAAAAAATCCCAATTCCCTTTAGTCCGACATGTGATGACTCTCTTATCCAAATATAGTTTTGGTATGTCTTTCTCTCTTTTTCTGTGTGTGACAATAATAACAGGTATTATGGCATAACGCTGAATCGATGGCTCCGGTCTATGCCATCATCGTGGCTATGTGAAAATGCAGTATCCAAATATTTGCGCCGAATTTAGAATGACACATTCAGCGCACACACACACACACAGAGAGAGAGAGAAAGAGGGGGGGGGGAGAGAGACACTTGGCTCTTCCGCTTGCTGTTCCGGTGTTGCCGGGGCATCAATTTCGAAGAATCATCATAAAAAATTAAACAGCAAATAACGATATTCATTGATATTCCGGGGCAATTTTGTGTGTTGGGAAAACAAAGCCGGAGCTCGGAGACGCACGACTGAAAGCGATCCATTTTCCATGTGAAAAAATCATTTCAGGCTGTACGCAGCATAAAGCAGCGATAGAAGACAGTAACGGGCGACGACCGATTCAACAACCAACTGCTCCATTTGAATCAATTAAATGACATTATTTCATCTCTGTTCGGATGACTGATGATGATGTGATAGGTGGTTAAGGCGATAAGCTGATAACTGATAAAAAATTCAACGGCAAGAACAAATTCATTTTCGTGCCCGTTAACATCTCTCGAATGGATCGTCGACAATGGCAGCCGCATTCGAACACTTGCATGGCACATTTTTTTGCTGTCTGCCCCGCTCTTTCCGTCTCACTCTCATTTTCTCTTTCTCTGCCGTTCTCATTCTGTCTCTCTTCCATGTCTGACTCTCATCTGCTTTGACTCTTTTTTTTCTATAGAAGTGTACGAAGTAGACTTCGGTCGTTGTGTGCTCTCGAACGCATTTGAAATTGTTGTTGTCTATCATCATTGTCGACATCGTCTTTACCTACTAAAATATACATGAGAAAATGAGCATTCATTCTCCGATCTGGGGACTGGGGTATAGCAGCATATATTTTGAGTGGCTTCAAAATGCTTCACTAAATTTTACTATGAAACCAAATGGGAAGTGAGACAGTGAGTGAGCGAATGAGAATATGAGAATTCGAAGACGATTTTAAACATCGACTTCTGAACGCAAAATGAACTAAGCAGCAGCACCGTCACCCTCAACTCTCTGCCATCGAATAACTTTTTCTGCTTCAATAATTTAGCGATTGTTTTACGGTTTACCTGCTTAAATTGAATTCAATTTAATACTTTTCGATTGCGTTTGAAAAACGATAATTCGATAAAAGGGATCTTTTCCTTTAATGTTACGCATATTATGTATATTATATGGATATTAGATTCGATGAAAATGTGTAAGTGGAAAGAGAGAGAGAGAGAGAGTCATATGGATGGCCGGGGAGCCATCGGGAGAAAACGATTCGTAACGATTACGTCGGCAGAAAAAAATATCGGAGAAACGATTGCAGCCCACGGTAAAATAGCCAGATAAAAACAGCACAAGTATATTTATATTCGCAGTGTATTGATATGTGCGCTCAACTAATAAATATTGCATGGTTCTCATAACACACACACTTACACACAAATATACTCGCACACACAGGGTACACACCAACCAACCAACCAAAAAAAGAACAGAACAGAACAGAACACACCAAAGCACCCAGATATAAAATGATGTCGATGAATAAGAGTGAGGAAAAACGCCAGATTCAGCCTTTTTACCGAGCGCCGTGTGCGTTCATGTGCTTTAGCACAGGCTCTTTGAATAGAGCAACATCAGCTCGTATCATTTACCTTCATGTTGTTTTTTTTTCATGCTTACTCATACAAAAGAATCGCTTTGCTCTGCTCAGCTCGGCTCAGCACTCTTTCTCTCGGTGGATGTGTGTTTATCGTAAAATTGCGGCCTCGCTAAATTTAGGGAGTTTATTTTCTCTCTGTGTGTGCTGTGAACAGTGCGCTCAGTTGTGCGTGTTCGTTTGATAATTTCAACATAATTGCCGATTAAATTTTATTCGATGAATGTTGTAGAAAAGTCGGAAGTGCAAGGCAACGCAGTTTACGACGTGTCGTCGATTTTTATATTTGCTTCATTTTGTTATGGCACTGAGCCGTGACTTTAATGTTTGTCGGGCTTGTGGTTTTCCAACCAGCACTTCGGCATAGTTTCCTCGATCCTCTTTTTATTCGCTTTTGCACTTTTTCGTTTGTCATTATACGTATTTTTTTGTTTCACCCGATTTGCTGATGCTGGCCTGCTCTCGAGAACGAAAGCGTAGCACAAGTGAATCCGTTCAACACATCGGTCTTCGGGTATAGTGTGTGCGAGCAAGAGAATGAGACAGAGAATGAACAAAACGGGAATATGAATAATGGAAAAAAAAACCATACACACAAACACACACCAGCAGCAGCGGCAGTCGAGTTGTAATTCGTGGGCTCGTGCTCGCATTCAGCATCATCACTGTATGCTGGCACCTCAACCACTTTTATCAACACACTAACTGCCCGAACTAACCCGAAATACAAAATAAATTTGCTGCTTTTTACGAGTATTTAGCCTTTTTTATATGCAGTGTCAGTAGCGTTGAGTGAACAAGCAAAAATGTGCATAACGGTAGATGCCAACCAAACAAAATTAACTCATAGACACACATACAGCAGGAGAGAGTGAGCGAAAGAGCGAGAGAGTGAGTGCGCTAGTGTGTACTGCACAGCACAGCAGAAACGAATGAAACAAACAGTAACCAGAGCTCCCGAAAAAAGATAAAACACATGAAAAAAAAAGATGAATTTTAAATCGGATAAAAAAGAACCCTCCATTTCATGCATACACACACAAAAACTATGTATTACCAAATGAAATTATGGCTTGAGTGCGATTAATCAATTCAACTCAGTGCATCTCGCCCACAATGGTGTCGCATGAACATTGAATTTTTGTTGCTTTTGTTAACAGCTTCACACATACACACCGACACACATTTACATACACACAAAACCCATACACAGGAATACCAATTTTTGCCCAAGATAATTGACACTTACACTCGACGCGTCGTACGCTCTGTGTGTTGTCCATTCGATAGGAGATCAAAAAAAAAGAACGCCCGAATGTGTCTTGTTGTTGTACATGTGGAAAAACTATCGAATTAGAATGAAATGCACTAAAATAACATTGATTGGGCATTGTGTTTTCAAACACAATTCTAGCGTCTTTTTCTTCCTCGTGTCCACACACACACACACACTCTCTCCCTCTCTCACTCGCACTTACTTTGTAATATTGGCGTAGTTTTATTTTCGGCTTTATTCCTTCATTCGTCTCGATTCGCAATCGTTTGATTCCTCCGTTTTCATTTTCATTCTCATTCTAATGTGAATTTCGACTCTCTTATTACCGTGCGCTATCGGTGGCCGGTGCTAACTTTACCGTTTGCACCACCGATTCGATTCATTCTCATTGAAATGTGTTTTTTTCTTCTTCTTCGTTTGTGTTGTTGTTAGTCTGGACTCTTGCTCAATCACCCATTGTCACTCTCTCTCTCTTTCTCTCTTTCTTGTTCACTGTACATCACGAGCGTGTGTTCCTTATCTGTGGCATTTATTGCTGCAAACTCATTGCCAAAATGTATATATTGGCTGCAGTATGATTTCAATACGACAGAGAGCCACACTGTTTGGGCATTGCGCGCACACACACACAAACAACTCGACCAAATCGAATTCAATGGAAACGAACCGAAATAAATGATTACCGTTTTGTCGATTTATCTGTGAGAGAGCGAGAGTATGGCCGCTTACAAAAACCGCATACACACAGGTTTTGCAAAACGGCTCATCCATGGTGTGCATTGTTGTCACATTATTCCATTTTTTGAACTCATCGAGTTAACATCGATTTCGTAACAACAGAAAAAAAAACAGAGATTTTATCCAAGTGTGTTATTGTGCGGTCTTGGTCTTACATTTTTCTTGTACTATTTTTTTTTCCTTGGTGTTCTATCATTTATAACCATTGGCCCGTTTCGTTGTTCTTTACATTTTCATTTTATTTTTTTTCCTTTTTGCTCCGCGTATTTTATTTGTTGTTTGTTTCGCGAGTGATTTGAATATTGTATTCACGCGGAATTGCACGTGTGGAGTGGCGCACGGACGAGCTCGAACACATTTACTCTCCCATTCACTGTTGCTCGCAATCAAGCGCATTTTTCATTTTCGTTTGTTTGCCATTAAACATGTTGCCGTACGCTGACAACTCGTATCAACTGGAACGCATTTCCATTTGCGATGAAAAATCGCTGGCAATGTGGGACTATTACAACGGAATTGCAAATAAATACGATTTATTCGGTAACCTGTAAGTATCGTTTGCCATTCATTTCTTGTCTTCTTGTTCTCTCCAGTACTCGTTTTTCAC